CAGAATGGCTGCTTTCTACTTTTTCTGAATTAGTCAGTTTAGGCTTCCTACCTCTCCTAGGAGGAACAGGCATCACAGGTATTTGCTCATCTCGAGTATTTCCTCCCGTTTCAAGTCTACAAGTCTCAGGTGCTCCTTTTGTTCGCTTGGTACTTCTCCCAGGAGACATTCAAACAGAACCGGTCTGTCTGTCTGCAGCAGTTGATGAGTGCCTTCCGAGGGAATGCCTGGACTTCCACTCAGTTGTCCCCTTGTGTGTGTTCTAGCAGTGATGCCATACTCTACTTGATGCCTCCTGGTTTCATCTTCCACTCCCGTCACAGGTGATTAAGGGAGCCTTTGCCTTCTGGAATCTAGTGACCTTTGTCCTGGTTCGGGCTGGAATTGAGTTCATGTTCCTTTTCGGGAGCGAGAAGAATGCTGCCAGCACACTGAGCTTTCAAGGACTCTCCAAATCCCTATGTCCTGCCTTTGCGCAGGCACAAAAGAAGCAGGGATGGGACACGGCTGAAGCACCGGGCCCGGACTGGCCAACGGGCTATTCCACGTCATGTAACATCACGCTCGCTATGTAAAGGAGGGGTGGGCGGGAAGGGGCTCTCTCTCGCTTCCGGGATTGCAATCGCGGGGTCTTAGTATTTCGGGATCGCTAGCCGGGAACGGGCTGGGTGTCGGTCAGCGGGTGGTGAGCAACTGCACGGTGCATTGCCCGTTTCTAATTTCTATTACTGTCACCGTTTTATTTTATTACCATTAGTAAACTGTTTCTATCTCAACCTGCAAGTCTCCCTTTGCCCCTCCAATTCCCTCCCCCATTCCCAGGTGGGGGAGGGAGGCCGAGCGGCTGCGTGGTTGTTAACCGCTTCTTAAACCCTGAAAAGATGTATTTAGCACGTCAGTATGATATGAACAGATAGCTGCTCGTCTAGTGGAATGGAAGACAAGTTCAGCTTTACCGATTCGTTCCTATGTTACTGAAAAAAGAACATGTCCCAGCACTCACTGAGTCTCAAGGTTAACTTGTTCTAAGAGCCTTGAAGTGACAGGGCAAACTTTCGGGTTTGATTTCAGAAGTGATCAGTAAAACAGAAAAAGATACGTGAGGAGAAGGCTGTTAAGCAGTTTCACAAAACAGTTTCCCAGGTTTTTGAAGCTCTGAAAATGACTCTGAGATATAAAGAGCTCTCGGTGTCCCTCAGCTGCATCACATTCACCATCGTCACTAGCTGGCAATTCACGTTCAATCTGTTGCTCTGAAGCAGCACAGCTGTGTTGAAGATTGCCTGGTGGATGGAGCTCACTACACGGCGATGTTTCAGGAGCTGCTTCTGAGGTTTCTGCCGTACCCACACTATCTTCAATAACCTGAAGGTAAAAAATGTCTGTTAATGCATTCTTAATTACCAGACAGACTAACTTCAAGCTGAGCTTCGTGAAACTGAGGACAGTGAAATGCTGCTTTTCCTTTCAGACCACCACCACGTGTAAAGTGGGAAACATACAATCTACTCCCTGCCACAGATAACAGTTCATGCGTTTAAGGGACAGAGAACAGACTATTCCATTTATGCAATGACACGCTCCATTTCTGCTCTTTCTGTTCCTGGATAACGATTTGCCACCACCCGTGAACAACGTGAGCAGTTTACAACACAAGCTGCACACACGACCGGCAGCAATCGTCACGCTGCAGAACTTTCTGGACTGACCACAAATCCACAGGTCGTACAGACAGAGAACGCTTCCCTCTGCTTCTTCCAAGCCAACCAGCAGCCCAGTTCTCTTCTGCCAGGAAAACTCCTTTACCACACGCACAGTGGGAGGCTGTTTATTTGCTCCCTGGAAACGGTACGCAGAGAGCCGCGCTCCTGTCACAGAGCTCACCGCCGGAGTTGAGGACCACACGCCTGCCACGCCAGGCCATGGCTCCCTGGAAGAGAAACGCAAGAGGACTTAAGCAAAGGTCCAGCAGAAGACTGAAAACTGCCGAGAAGTCACAGTCACCGCCCTTTCCTTCAGTAAAAGTACCGAGCAGAGGAAGACCAACCCGCCCGATTCCGGTCAAGTAGTTAAAGCCACCCGTTGAAATCCTCAAGGAATGTATCTGAAAATTAACACCTTTGTATTTTGCATTTGTACTTGTCAGTCCCTTCTCTCGGCCCTTCCTCACTTGGCAGGCTTCCCAGTCCTTTGATCATCTTTGTGGCCCTTTTCTGGACCCTCTCCAGCCTGCCCACATCTTTTTAGTACAGCGGGGACTAAACTGCTGGCAGACTCGAGGGTGGGCTAGCCAGTGAGCAGGAGGAAAACCCGTCTCTGGGAAGACCGGGTGTCTCAGCCAGCGGTGAGGGAGGGAGCCCAGGGTGGGGGCACAGAAGATAGCTGGGCTTGAGGCCATGCTGACCTCCTGGGGCTCTGTAAACGAAGGGCGTGCGTGGGAACCCCCGGAGTGACAGCACGCCCGCGGTGTCACTCGCGAGCTTGAATCGCAACAAGCCGGAGAGGAGGCCTCAATCTGCTGACTTCAAAACAAAATCTGGTCAGTCAGTAGCAGCAAGGCTATGGTTCAAAATCAAACGTAAAAATAAAGAGCCACGACATGCTTTTTTTCCTCTGTCCAAGAACTGTGCGTAATAGGAGTAACTCGACTGCCGGGCTGGGCGAGCCGAGGACTCAGGCCAAGGAGGAAGAACGTAGCCGACTCAGTATGAGTGATAAAGTGTGCTTCAGTTTATTGATTTTCATTACAGCCTTTTATAATCCTTCTACTAATTATGCCTACTAGTCACTAGCTGATTGGCTTAAGCTCTAAGGGTCGTATTCTCACGGTCCACCTACTTGCAGTTAGCTTACAGCACAAGTTTCTCATAACACTAAGTTTCTCATGCTACTATTTCTGATTCCTGTTTACTTGTTTTCGATACACAACAGTACCGTAACACAATGTTTCTCAGACCACCGTTATCATAACACTAGGTTTCTTAGACCACTATTCCTAATTCCTCTCAACCTGTTTTCGACACACCACGGTACACAAGGCTGAAGTGTCCTTGACATTCCTCAGGTATCAGCAGCTGCGAGCAGCTGCAAGCAAACCCTAGTGAGGCCCAGCATCAGCAGCTAGAGCAGGCTCTGATCATACAATTGCTCGGTGGGCTCAGGACCCTTGTCTCTGAGCCATTCTCCAACACTCGACTACAGATAGGGATTTCATTTCCACATTGGTACGGCAAGCGAGATGGGAAGGAATGAGTTTCCACAGAAACACGTTCACAAACGGCATCCCTGCGTCGTTCCTGCTGGCACACAGCGGGGGAGGCTGGTTTGGGAGGACAAAGCACTTTCTGAAGGGGAAGGAACACAGGAGTAAATCGCAAGCAGCCCTCAGTAACCAGGGCAGTACTCTCACAGACAGACGGCCCTGCTGCACGGGCGTGAAGCTTTCTGCTTCCAGCAGTGCTCGAATCCGCTGGACAACCAGCGCAGGATGCTGATGGAGTGGGAGCATCCAGCAGCTACAAAAGCTGTACTGCATGGCTGAAAACTTGGCTCCTGCTGTAGCGGAGAGGCGCGGCACTGTAAAGCTTCTGTACCCTATGAAGCTGTATAGAAGGCGGCATTAATTTCCTTACCGAGGTGCTGGAAAGACTTTCTCATGCATACCCATCTGTAAATCCAGCTGTACTACCTCAACTTTGTTTCCCACAGTATTTTAGAGGATCCACTCTGTCTTGTACCGGAAGCTGCTCCAGAGTCACGGTTCCCATTTTTCCGATTTGAGAGTAACCCAGCCTTTTAAAGTACCGCCTGGAAAGGTCTTGGAAAGAAGTGACACTTTGCGCTAATCCCACCTGGCACTGCTTGTACTTTTCCCAATGCTGGGTGGCTTTGAAGAGCTCTTTGCACACAACGGGCACCGGGCCTCTGTTTGCAGCGCAGCCGATCGTCCAACAGCTCTTCCCGAGCCGGCCTGCCCGTACGCCAGCAGAGCAGCGTTATAACCTTGCCAGGCGTTCTCCAGCGCTCCTTGGGCCAGATCACACAACACCTCGCTCTAAACAACGATCGAGTGCATCCTCTTCACAGATGAGCAAGCAAACGCATACACAAGCACTGCTGCCCGGGACGCGTGCCCCCACTAACAGGTTGAATCAAGATTTGCAAACGTGCTTGAAAGTAATACCGAGTTCCGGGATGACGGGAGCGTAGGCAAAAGCTAGGTAAGGCTTCCAACCAGTAAACCGACCCGTGCCAGTCACCTGCAGTACGCTTACATGAACGTTAATAATGGGAGATAAACTAAATGAGCAGTCTACGACCGTGTATTAGCTACAACTGCTTGTAGTTGGTTCTTTGAGTAAAATCTTACCTGGCCTGCATAGCTGTTGGATCCGGCTGAGACGAGCATACCGTTCTCGCCCTTTCGGAAGCCACTACGAGACCACTAGGCTAGATGAAACGTAAAGGCCTTCCAGCGCCCTGGATTCTGAGGGCCACATATGCTTGTGCTGTTGGTGCTCACAGAAATCACACACTACTTCCCTGCACCCTTCTCTGTGTACTGAAAATACGGTTGTAGCACCAAAAGGCAAGCGATCGGTCACGCAGCGATAGCTCCTGCTTTTGTCTGCATTTAAGCCAAGTTGAACAGCAAGGCACACCACAGCAAGGACTGCTGTGGGATAAGCCTGCTCTTAAACTATGCCAGGGGATACACAGCCAAGGGAAGCGACCTGAACCAACGGACACGTCGGTAACTGTAACTTGCATTTTTCCCTCTCCCTCGCATACTGGTCATCCACACGGCAGAGGGCTTTGAAAAACACATTTTATTTTAGGAACGGCTTGAATTCAACAGGAACCACAGAACATTTATCTCCAAGCACATCCAAGAGACTCGTTACCTGGACTACTTTGCCGAGAAAAAAAAAAGCATTCCTGGATTGGAAACCTGCAAGTTTTGCACAGAAGACAAAAGTACCAACAAAATAAAAAAAACTGCTACCTTCTTACTTGAGAGTCTACAATTTCATAGTATTTTCAGATTGGCCTAGACTAAGAGGTGAAAAGCACTGCCTATCAACTCATGAGAAAACACGGGCTGGCTGCTGCCTGTAGCTTGTTTTTTCGCCACCAGAAATCAACAGCTAAGCTATTTGCGATTCGGCACATGGGAACAGATGAAAAACCGCCAGGTGATTTTGCATCGTGATACTCCAAAGTAGTTTGGTCTGAACGGGCAGAGAAGTTGCTGTTTTCTTTGCTGACATCCATTTTCTCCAAACCATCTCCAGGTATGCTTTTTGAAAACGCTTCCACTTCAGCACGATCCTCCTCAGGATTGCTCAGAGTAAACAGAGTTGCCTTATCTCTAGTCTCAGACGATGCATCCTCCGCCATTCCATGATGATGCTCCCATGAATCCCCAGGCAGTGCTATATCATCGTTGGTTACCTTTATTAAAATACAAAAAAAAAAGCCAACAAAACCTCACAGTCAATAACATGCAGGTGGTTTTTGTAAAGGGAAGACAAAAAACCCCCCCAACATATACTGATATTTGTGTCCCTAGTGTCCCAAAAACCACACTGCAACTCTGCCTCAGGGAGAGGACGAGGTACGGCTGGTGGCTCTGCAACTCTAGCACTAGAACAAACAGGGAAAGGTAACTGACTTTCACTCCCCTGAAGTCCAAACATACCGGAATTCAGGTTTATTTGACCATCGCCCCTGAAGGAAAATCATCTGACAACCACCAGCCTCTTTTCCGCTCGTTACAATTCCGCCCGATGTTAAGAAGGAAAGGCAGAAACGAAGCAGACACTGGGCAGGAAGCGGTCAAAGATCCCTGTTTGGCCACATAACCAAGTGTCTCAAAAGCAGTACACCGAGAGCTTGGTGGCAACCACAGTTCTAGTTTCAGCTGTCAAATTCTTGAAAACACATTTACCATCGTGTCAGTATAGGTCTTGGCCTAAATAAGATTATCATAGCCGAAAAAGTCTCTCTCCAAATATTACTTTGGATGAACTGATTACAAAAAAGCCAATCAAAGTTTATTCAGGTACACCTTCCTTCCAGAATACTAACATAATCCAAATGGATTTTTGCTATTCCTCTCCACACACGTAGCTCAAAACTGAACTTTGTGAAAAGGCTGCTTACCTATCATATCGTGAGGAAAAGGTTTTCTGCTCATTTCCTGCCCATGCTGCTCCAATTCTGGATAACACATTACTCATGAAAGTTGCTATGATATCCAGATATCCTGAATTGGCTGGTTTTGTTGATCTTGATACTGGCTTTGGTCTCGCAACTGTAAAGCACAAGGGAAAACCTATCAGCCTTGTGTTATCAAAGTGAGCGTTTCTTGACCGCTGTATTCCCCGCGCTAAAAATTACCTCCTCTTAAGGCCGACGAAGGCAAATGGTAAGGCCTGGCTCTCTCTGCAGCCAGCTGCCTTTGAACTCTAGGAAGGATCTTCCGATATGGGCGTAATTCAGACTTTCTGGCACATGCCCCCTCTCTGAAGCGAGGATGGCGATCATTCGATGAATAAAAAGCGTAAAGCAGTTAACTAATTACAGCGAGTGCACTGCACAGAACAGCAGCAAGTTCTACCCATCAGCACACGCCAACTTCACCCGGTAATTTTAGCAAAGTGGAAGGCAGACTAGATCAGTAACAGAACCGACAACTGTCAGTTAAAACAGTTCTGGCACTCAGCAGAACCTTATTCCGATACGCCTCTTGTTACCTTTGAGGAACCCCTTACAACAGGCAGTAAGAGGTGTAACAAAACCAGATCCTGACAACTTGTTTGTACCCTGCGGAGAGCTCCGACATGTAGACACGAGCACACGGCCCTGTTCTGCCCTGGTCTTGGCACGGTCCTTCCGCAACTGCCTAACGAGCTGGGTCAGGGAATCCAACCGACGGGACCAAAGGCCGAGTAGAAGGGGGCAACTAGCAGGTGGACCAACTTCGTTTGACAGCAGTATGAATGCTACGCCCGGTGCGAGGCAAGAAGCAAACCCCAGAACTTTGGGGCTAGAGAACAGGCGACAGACCAGCTCTCTTCATCCCGAGTCTGTTTTTACCGTAAGTTAAGCAAACTCAGCCTCGCAGAAAGAGAGATCAAAAGTAAATGCAGCTCATGACTTCTGCTGCTTTCAGATGCACAAACCTTAACAAGCCCAAACAATGGCTCGAGCTGTATTCCTCACCTTCCTGCCATACCACCGCTTGAAAAGGCATCGCGGGAAGCTGAGCTAGCAATTTGGAACAACCACAGCTCCTAACAACGCTTGAGCGAAACCGCCAAGGACACCGACATGCATTTTGAATATCTGCCTGCCGACGGGTGATGTTACAGAAGGTCTAGCGGAACCTTTTTGGACCAAATTCAAGCCTGCCATTCTTGATCGCAGGTCCAGGTCTCAATATAAGGAGTTCTGGCAAACTGTCCAAAATTCTAAACCAAATAACAGACTAGAAAGCCTTTGACTGTAAAATCCACTAACTACAGCCCAGCTTACCCCAACAGTCCATTTCTCATCTGAGTTCCCTTCCTTGAAAGACACTCTGTGTTTGTTTGCTCTGGGAGGAGGAGTAACTGATTCTCCTGGAAACGCAGAGGGAGTTGCCTGGGGTGTGCTGCGAACGCTGGATCTGAGGATAGACCGAGGAGTAAAGCCGGGAAAACCAGAAGCAGATGTGGCCAAAACTTCAGCTTTCTATGAAAAGAAAGAAAAATATTTAATTGAAAACCAATTCGTACCTTCAAAACGGAAGACTCCACTTCTCCAAAGCATTAGTTTCAATTACAGACTGAGGTTGCAGAGGCAGGGAGGACAAAGTTAACCTCTGCACTGCTCTTTCTCCAAAGGTATGAAAATCTTAACGATAAAACCCCCCAGGATCTTGTGGATTTTTGGTTTTCTTTTGGTATGTGGTTGTTGGTTGGTTGGTTGGTTGGTGGTTGGTTTTTCCCACCAACACCAACTAAAATGTGATTTTTCAAATTAATTTCCTGAGGAAACAAGGATATGGCGTCTTGATTTCTGCATTGTTCTCTCCCTTCCCAGTAATTTTTGCAATTCCTACTCTGCTCTCTAAAAGGCGTACCACTTCAAATGTTACCCCAGCTACTGCCACTGAACACACTGCCATGCAAAATGGCAATCAGCAAAGCAACAGCGAGAGCTTATTGCTTCACTGATGAATCCATCCGCGCGCTACACCAAATTAAGGGGCTGCTGTACAAATACCTACACATCTTCACCTAGAAGCATCCAGGTCTTCTTACCTCGGCTCGGAAGAAGAATTTACAGTATGGAAAGGGTTTGAAAGGGGGAGAAGGAAACTAGCTCAATGAGAGGGACAATATTCAATGAGAAGAAAAAGGCTGTCATTCAGAGAGATCACAACTACTTTGTTCAGGCAGGCAAAGGCAAAGAGACCCGCACCAAGAAGACAGGTCAAATGTTGTTACTTCCTTACAGGAGAAGAGTTTGAAGGCACTGAATGGACACACAGTTTAGCGCAAACAATTAACCAGTACAATTGCTGCCAAAAGCCATCACTGAGTTGGACAGAGACTGACATCCCTTAACGGACATCACTTAGCTGTCACTCACTTCACCGGATTAAGAAACTGAAGCATGCACGTTCTTGCTGGTGGCTATGCAAGTCAAACTGTGCAGAGCTGCTGAGCGCTTGCATAACGAGATGGTTAAGCCACAAACTGCATCTTTAAGGGTCTAAGCATATTGAAAAGCCCAATTTTAACTTCCTTTGTTCTGCACAGTTCATGAAGTTATGGGACAACGTGCCTACTGCAATTAGCTTAGAACTAAACTTGCCCTCTTCAAGGCTTTTCCCAACTTCCTGCTTCCAAAAGGACTGTATGTACAACCACCCCACATGCTCTGAAAATTTGACACAGTTTGAATCCAGCAGTGTTTGTGTCAAACATTTTGGTGGTTTCATTTTAAACAAAGTTTACAGGCCATTTGTTTGGTCGGTTCTTACTGTTTTTCCAAATACAAACCTTAACCACAAGAGGAGTCTGTAGCAAATTGAACTCTGGTGCTCTTGAAGAATTCTTTTGTAACAATGGTGACTGCCAGCTACCACCCTGTGCTGCAGAACATGAAGGGACAGGACGATCCACCAAACCCAGCAACCTGTTAAGATACCCAATTTAAAATATGAACATAAATAAACTAAGGAAGAAAATCACGCGGCGTTCAAGAAATCTTGAGATGAGATGTAAGAAAGACATTCAAGGAACGAGAAATAGAGGTGAGCCCTCACTGTTGGGGGGATGTATCAGGTCCACGCACAAGTTACCGCCTTTTCCTTTTTTCTTAGTTACTTCTGTACATTTCAAGCTTGATTTCCTAAATCACTGCCTCTTAGGGAAGAGAAATCCCATTTTAAGTTGACCAAGGGATGTAATTCTCACGTCAAAGAGAAATTCACCTGCATTTCAATGCTGGGACCACTTCAAATTCTCCACCGAGTTGTGTCCTTAAATTGCCCTTTTCTTTACCAGATACAAAACTAAATGCAAACAGAGCACTTTGCAAACACAGAAAGTATATACACACGCACACACACACATACATATACACAGACATAAGAAAAGCAACACCATTTTGAAATATTCACTCTCTAGATCTACTATACCTGGAAGATTTTTGTGAAAATCTTGTGACCAGTGTCCCAACAACCGCACTGCGCAACTCTGCCTCAGGGAGAGGACGAGGTACGGCTGGTGGCTCTGCAACTCTAGCACTAGAACAAACAGGGAAAGGTAACTGACTTTCACTCCCCTGAAGTCCAAACATACCGGAATTCAGGTTTATTTGACCATCGCCCCTGAAGGAAAATCATCTGACAACCACCAGCCTCTTTTCCGCTCGTTACAATTCCGCCCGATGTTAAGAAGGAAAGGCAGAAACGAAGCAGACACTGGGCAGGAAGCAGTCAAAGATCCCTGTTTGGCCACATAACCAAGTGTCTCAAAAGCAGTACACCGAGAGCTTGGTGGCAACCACAGTTCTAGTTTCAGCTGTCTTAAATTCTTGAAAACACATTTACCATCGTGTCAGTATAGGTCTTGGCCTAAATAAGATTATCATAGCCGAAAAAGTCTCTCTCCAAATATTACTTTGGATGAACTGATTACAAAAAAGCCAATCAAAGTTTATTCAGGTACACCTTCCTTCCAGAATACTAACATAATCCAAATGGATTTTTCGCTATTCCTCTCCACACACGTAGCTCAAAACTGAACTTTGTGAAAAGGCTGCTTACCTATCATATCGTGAGGAAATGGTTTTCTGCTCATTTCCTGCCCATGCTGCTCCAATTCTGGATAACACATTACTCATGAAAGTTGCTATGATACCCAAATATCCTGGATTGGCTGGTTTTGTTGATCTTGATACTGGCTTTGGTCTCGCAACTGTAAAGCACAAGGGAAAACCTATCAGCCTTGTGTTATCAAAGTGAGCGTTTCTTGACCGCTGTATTCCCCGCGCTAAAAATTACCTCCTCTTAAGGCCGACAAAGGCAAATGGTAAGGCCTGGCTCTCTCTGCAGCCAGCTGCCTTTGAACTCTAGGAAGGATCTTCCGATATGGGCGTAATTCAGACTTTCTGGCACATGCCCCCTCTCTGAAGCGAGGATGGCGATCATTCTGATGAATAAAAAGCGTAAAGCAGTTAACTAATTACAGCGAGTGCACTGCACAGAACAGCAGCAAGTTCTACCCATCAGCACACGCCAACTTCACCCGGTAATTTTAGCAAAGTGGAAGGCAGACTAGATCAGTAACAGAACCGACAACTGTCAGTTAAAACAGTTCTGGCACTCAGCAGAACCTTATTCCGATACGCCTCTTGTTACCTTTGAGGAACCCCTTACAACAGGCAGTAAGAGGTGTAACAAAACCAGATCCTGACAACTTGTTTGTACCCTGCGGAGAGCTCCGACATGTAGACACGAGCACACGGCCCTGTTCTGCCCCTGGTCTTGGCACGGTCCTTCCGCAACTGCCTAACGAGCTGGGTCAGGGAATCCAACCGACGGGACCAAAGGCCGAGTAGAAGGGGGCAACTAGCAGGTGGACCAACTTCGTTTGACAGCAGTATGAATGCTACGCCCGGTGCGAGGCAAGAAGCAAACCCCAGAACTTTGGGGCTAGAGAACAGGCGACAGACCAGCTCTCTTCATCCCGAGTCTGTTTTTACCGTAAGTTAAGCAAACTCAGCCTCGCAGAAAGAGAGATCAAAAGTAAATGCAGCTCATGACTTCTGCTGCTTTCAGATGCACAAACCTTAACAAGCCCAAACAATGGCTCGAGCTGTATTCCTCACCTTCCTGCCATACCACCGCTTGAAAAGGCATCGCGGGAAGCTGAGCTAGCAATTTGGAACAACCACAGCTCCTAACAACGCTTGAGCGAAACCGCCAAGGACACCGACATGCATTTTGAATATCTGCCTGCCGACGGGTGATGTTACAGAAG